TCAAATGTCCACGAATATCCGAGCGGTTCTGGAAGTTTTATTACCCATTATCAAAATAAAAATTTTAAAAATTCAAAAATATAGAAACATGCCTGAAATGTAGATTATATGTAAAGTTTACAAAATAAATCTTAAGACAAATACTGTTAAATAACGACAAAGTTATAAACATTACTTTGAAAAAATGTATGATCAATGTTCAGTAATAGATTTAGAACACGTTTATATAATGATATTAAGATATTTCTAATATATTTAATATAAAGCAGATTACAAAGCACCCAGAATAACATTCGCTGTTTCCTCTTTGCTATTTTAATGCTATTTAGAATTTGAAACCCCTATTTATGATGCTCCCACAAGTTTTTGGCCATTCAATTAACGATTCAGTTTTGTGTCATTGAAACCAGGTTTTTTCAGATATATATATTTTTTTTTTTTATCGAAGGTGATTAGTACATTGTAGTATATAAATGGCATTTTATTTTTATAAAGAGTATGTCTTTGCCATGGACCATAGCTCTAGCTGTGACTTCAAAAATAATAGCTTTTATGGTATCATTGTTTGGGACATACCATGGGCTCACCGCTTCTCCAAACTATCATACCCCCTATATTGTTATATCAACGTCTGTGGCTATCTGGTCTTTGTTCCATCCTTCTGACAAATCGCGAATAGATAGTATAGAATTAGTCGGTACAAAGATTGAAAACCTTTTATATGTTGACACAATTTTATTCGATTTTCTTTTGCGGAATGATTAATAAACGGTCCCTCATATTTTGTTACGTGTTCAAAGCCTGGACATTTTTTGATTTTTCAAATTTTGCCGATTTTCCAAAGTATAAAACTTCCACAGCTTACCTAAAAAAAAAAAACTTTACCTTATTAAGCATCTGCCAAACTGATCAGCGAATTTAAGTCCTCAGCTTTTCTTTATCGGACTTGCATCGGGGGGCCGTTCAGTGATTTTAACGAACTTTTCCAGTGTTTCATGTAATGAACTGATCTTTTTTTTTCTTTTTCTTTATTTAACGTTATCAAGCTCCGAGCACGAAACATTTATCCATAAAACAAGACATAATACTGCATATTTAAACATCACGACGTGACATTTAATTTGAGATTTCTCGCTTCGGGATATTTCATAAAATTTATTGTCATTTGTTTACATCTATACTGCATAAAACGCCATCCTTCTTATATAGAGTGATGGTATATATTACTATCATTTAGTAAATAAACCTATAGTTTCAAATGCATGTATTTATATATTTGCATTTAATAAGTAAAACGTATATACATATAATAGCTGGCCACTCGTATTCGAAGATACCCAATCCCAATTACAGACGCTCGCTCAGGCACATTTGTGTTTGCTTAATACCCATGGGTTATACCGCAACTGTACTGAGCAGACCTTAGTTACAATTTCTGGAAGAGAGCGTGTTATCTAGCGTGATGAACAATTTAAACAAGTCCAGCACGTTCAAGCCCTCGGCCACGATGACTTGTGGCTTCGTTCTGGCACAGCTATATATATATATATATATATATATATATATATATATATATATATATATATATATATTAAAGACATTTTTATGTTTAACGTTCTTTTTTATAGATACAAGTATTTAAGTAAATGGTCTGTTTATAATAAACAGTATTAAATAACATTTACCGAATGTCCGAGAAATTTTCATAGAAAATATTCGTCCATTGACAGGATTCGAACCTGCATCCTATACGGAACCGTCATTTACGCTGACGTGCCTTAACCGACTCGGCCACAAAGGAGCGTTCGGTAGGCAAGGTCGAATTTACTGCTTATAAACTTCAATCTTCCATGAATCTCGTACATTCATAACTGCTCTGGCGTATCAAATGTAAACAAATGACGTCATATATTAAGAAATGGACAAAGTCCGACAATTTATTTATTAAAATAGGCAACATGAAGACCCACTGCAGACCACAATTATTTTCGATTTTTTGAAATTCAATGTGTCAGTGTGTTACCTGCGGTATAAAAGTGGAGACATTTATAAAGCAATTGTTAAGTTTGATGAAAATTGGTTGAAAGATCAACGAAAGATATGAACTAAACCAATAAATTCGCCATTTTTTCGCTATTCACGTCTTGAGCTAGACTTAATCATTAACGGCCACCGTACGTCACATACCATAGACATATAGATCGTGTATATATGCACACATAAGTAAATGTGTGGATGTATGCATAGATAACTAGCTTGTATATTTTCTTTTCTTTTTTATTATATTTGTGTTATCGTAACATAATTGTTGATAAAACAAATATAATAGCATCGTCTACATGTAAAAAAAAAAAAAGGCTAAAAATAATGGAAGCCTTATTAATAAAAACAAAAAGACAACACTTAATAATATCAACTAGGAACCTGGACACAATATCTTCACCGTGTTTTGAAGATGTAAACATTATATAAATATATAATTGGATTTTATTTAGATTCGTTATCTTCTTGTTTTTGTTTCCATTATATTTTATTAAATACATACATACAACAATCTATTTCTTGTTAATATTTCATATATCTCAACCTTGAAAATGGCTAAATGTATAGCCGAAAGCACTCAAAATATAACAATTGGACAAATTTTATATAATACGGAAAAGAACAAAAATATAATGTGACGTCGTCCCCCGGTCGCAGCGTCGACTGTGTCATTCGATCCCGGTCGCGGTGCCAATTGTGACGTCACGTGCTCCCCAGGCTCTGATATCCTGGTCACGGACAGCACCAACTGTGACGTCTTCGCCGCGGCGTCAGCTGTTCGCTCCTCGCTGCTCCAAACGTGACGTTCTAACCCTTTGGTTAGATTGATACCAGCCTCGCCGTTCCCAACCCGCTTCCAACGCCTGGTTACCAGGGTAACTGCACTGATCTCCAGTCTGCCTACCCACGTTGTGAATTGATCTTAGACAGACGAGATCAAACAGGGGTTGGGGCCGTAATGCAAGTTGAGTCCAACGGGGGTGATAACACATAATTATGTATAAAAGAAAATAAAATAAAAACTCACACGGTCCAACGTATCAAAGAAAAAGGTAACAAACTTTTTATGTCTATTTGCTCGGTACATAGGACTATGTCTACTTCCCGACCCGTTCTGTGGATTGTGGCACGACGCTTTTACTAGGCAACTTTAAGGCTTCCAGTTGTCTGCTCTCTAAGAAATTTGTGTTTCGGTGTGTCTTTGGATGAAAGTCGAAAAAAAACTTATTTCTGTGGTCTTGATTCTAAGTCGCTCTTCAAACTACTTGTTCTTGGTTGAAGAAGAGTCCAGAAGTGTGCGTGAATCTTGGTCAGCTATCTTGACGCGGTTTCAACACTGGGCGCTCATCTCTGCTTGTCGTCCAAGGTTCAAAATTTCTCGCCAGGGTCCGCGGCTCAATCTGACTTCTTCTCTCCGGCTTGGGTCGAACAAACTGAGCTCTTTCTCTCCAGAGTCTGAATTACTGGTCACTCATCTCCGCCGTCGGTGCGCGAATTAACTTCTTCTCTTCGGCTTAGGTCGAACAAACTGAACTCTTTCTCTCCAGAGTCTGAATTACTGGTCACTCATCTCCGCCGTCGGTGCGCGAACTAACTTCTTCTCTTCGGCTTGGGTCGGACGAACTTCTTCACTTAGGCCAAACGAACTGGCCTCTCTTTCCCGCAAAGTGGGCGACCGAACTCGGACCGCCGTCCGCGGTTCCACTCCGCTTGCCGTCCGCAGCTGAACTCTTTCGCCGTCCGCGGCTGAACTGATTTCTCTCGGTTGGGGTCTCGTTTTTATTGACGCAGTCAAAACTGGGGTGGGTCTGTCGGCGCCAGGGGTTCTTCGATAATTCTAAATACGTATCCACCCTTCTTATTTCTGGTTAGGGATTTTTCATTCTTTTCCATTTTCGGTAACTCACTCTCACTCCCACTCCCTTACTGTGCCTCTGAGGGGCGTATATCCGCTTCCCCGCTTCTTCGTATCGGCTCCTTACACTTACACTTCTGACAGGGGTGTCGACCGATTCTCCTCGTGCGTCACGTGACCGTTCTCGGCCAATAAGGTCCTGGTCGGGTATCTTTCCTCCTCCTTCGTGTGTCATGTGATCTTATTTAGCCAATGACGTCTTTAGTCGGGCGTGGACAGTCCGTGGCTTTGTTTTGGGAAAGAAACACCTTGCTTGAAAAACAAAAATATTAATTTAAATCGCCCTTATCATGAGCGACTGAGATGACACGTTCGGCTTTTTAACACGTGGCATTTGTCAAGCAGTTTATCGCTAATTGGATATGATCTAAGAAAGGAATTTCTCAGACTCGTTGGCGTTTCTGAACGGAATAAAAATATTTCAATTTTCCCTCCGCTCGAAGGTCTGATAATAAAAATCTTTATTTTCTCAAAAAAAAATTCGCCAGCGACAACACCTTGTGTGGGTTTTTCCTAATTCTGGAGACTGTCTGTGTTTTCGTATTAATGGTTTGTCTTCATATCCTTAGATACACTTCCCCACCCACTTAGACCTTTACTATCATTCCAATAACACACTTCCATTTTTCGCGGATCCGCGGAAATCGGTCAGATGCTTGACCTGAATATTTTTCGACACATGTTAGCCGAGCGTGTGTGTGCTCGCCTATAACCTGTTTTCGTATTATTTTTTCTTTCTTTCTTCTTCGTTTTCTCTTTCTTTCTCCCAGATCGCTTGAATGTAAAGAAAGAATTATTCTTAAAACCCAAAATATTTTTGGCCTTAAATAATTATTAAATGGTTGATAAACCGTAAAAAACAAATCATATATCTATGAATATTTCTCTCAGCTCGTCAGGTATGCATGGTGCCACGTAAGATCACATGAGAAAGTGTCGAAAAAGCTAAATCAAAGCACCATGTCTGTTATATTGAATGAAACGTGTATGATAGAAGGATTGCTGCCTAAATACACAAATATATAACTAAATATATAAATACGTGTATATATGAATATATAGATAGATAGATAGATATGAGCAGAGATAGATAGATAGATAGATAGATAGATAGATAGATAGATAGATAGATAGATAGATAGATAGAAATGAGCAGATTGAGATAGATAGATAGATAGATAGATAGATAGATAGATAGAAATGAGCAGACTGAGATAGATAGATAGAAATGAGCAGACTTAGATAGATAGATAGATAGATAGATAGATGATAGATAGATAGATAGATAGATGTGTGATTGTATGAATAGATAGATAAATGAATGGATGTATAGATAGATAGATGTGTAATTGTATGCATAGATAGATAGATAGAGCATCCCCAAAACCGCAAGGCTCCAGCCATCAAAATCATATATACCATATTTAAAACAACTGATCACTGAAAGTGAGTGAGTTGAATGAAAATCATATCATAAAAAGAGAAAATAAAAATGAAATTAGGAAAATTTAGCTAAAATGCTGAGTTGGATGCTAAAAGGATCATAAAATGAGAAAATTCCTATAAAAACTATTTCAGCCTAAGTATATTTTTAACGTATACTTGAACTATTTATTTATTTCAGTAAAATACAAAACTCTTTAAATTTGGACCCTCACATTTCAGTGCACTGAATACTGAAAGCCACTTTATAGTCTGTCATAGAAATGATATTCGTGGTCATTGTCAAACTCTCTTCCATTTTCTTCACTCTCTCAAAATGGCGGCTATCGTGCTTCTCCATCAGCTTGGCAAACATCCAGAAGTCGCAATAGACTAGGGCAGACCTAGGGGAGGATCAGGGGCTGTCTTGGTGACCATATTGGACAAGTATTTGATACTATCGTCAAGATGTATTGTTGCGTGGGGCATTGTCCATGTGCCGGGGCAACCGGCCAAATATGAAAAGTACCAGCCTCTTCGCGAGAATAGACCCTGTACATAACACGCTTTGTTGACCGCCTGATTATGGGATCACAGTGGCTTTGCTATCGAACAAGAAAATAATCATGATGTGGAATTTGTTTTTAACCTTTTCGGTTCTACAGAGCGAAACAATAATTTTAAACACACACACACACATATATATATATATATATATATATATATATATATATATATATATATATATATATTTATATGAGAATGTTATATAGAAAATAATAAATAACTGGTCATAATATGTGATAATCTCTAAATTGCTAAAGAGATTTCCAATATTGATTTAATTAAGTTTTACTTTGTACAAATTATTTTCTATGACTGCAAAAGTATCTAATATATAATCGAATTATTTCAGATGAAATATTGTCATGAAATAACATTTTGTGACAGACCAAATTTAAAATTTAGTTGCCGTCAATAATTTCTGGTTTAAATAATAGAATAAGCGTTATAAATTCGGTAGATTTCCCCCACCAATGATGAGCAGATTTATCTCTATGAATTTCCGATCACAAAGATATTGCTCTCTCTCTCTCTCTCTCTCACTCACACACACACTTTGTCTCTGTCTGTCAGTCTGTCTGTCTCTCTCTCTCTCTCTTACTTTATAAGTCTGTCTCTGTCTGTCCGTCTCTCTCATTCTCTCTCTATCACACACTATATCTGTCTGTCTCTCTTAATTTATCTGTCTGTCTCTGTATGTCTGTCTCTCTCTTACTTTGTGTCTTCTCTGTCTGTCTGTTTACTCTCTCTCTCTCTCTCTCTCTCTCTCTCTCTATATATATATATATATATATATATATATAGATAGATAGATAGATAGATAGATAGATAGATGTATTTCGGAAACAAGAATTATCTGAAACATGTTTTGTTAAATAATATGGACAAGATCTAACAATTTTTTGTCGAAATATTTAAAATTTCCTAACAAGTTGACTTGTGTTTTCTTCCGGAATATTTTCGAATGTTGATACATACTTTTTCAAGGATTATTCTGTGTGGATTTACGATTAAGGGGCACGCCTTGCGAAACGGAATGGCTCTTGATGCGTGACTCACTGGCGAGGGTCCTAGGTAATGCTTTCTCCATCCTTGCAGCTGCCAGCGGATAGCAAAAAAATTGTTCATAGTTACTTTGTTCAAACTTTGTTTTCAATAAATTTTACGCAACTGATTTTAAATTTCTTCAGAAATTGGAGTCATTCTTCGCACTCTGTCCGGAATAGCATTTTTGGGGTTATCTAATGAAAAATGTCTAATCTTAATATTATTTTGCTTCTTATTCATATGTGTTCTAAATTTTGACAACGGACAATTGATATGTTATTTAAATGATATGACGTTGCATCGAAAAAAGGACACTAACAGCACAAAATATCGAAGTTCTCTTATAGGAAGAGAGATCTAATTCCTCCAAAAAATAGATCAAATATCTCCAAATGGAAAGAAATGAAATTGCTTGACAAATTGAAATATTCTACTAACTTTGAAAAACTACCAGGAAATCCTAAATCTTTTTTCTGATATAATTAAGAAGAAACATACCAAAAATAATGTGATAATTAACAAAAAAAAAGAATAATTTATATAAAAGCAAATATAATTACTTAATTTCTAGCAACTTTATTAATTATTCAGATTACTAACTCATTAAACAGCATACGGGTTCCTTAACCTCGGACCAAACTGCCATCTTTATTCCACTTTAAATAATAATATAAAGAAAGAGAACACAGACTGAAATATTACACAAATACATCTTAGAATTGCAAAATAACAAACTCATTGCACCACCACTGACCACTTTTATATTCATACATGTACCCTTTGTTATTGAGCGCTTTTACTCATAGATATGGCATAGCTTAAAACTATGTTTTCATCATAGAAATAAATATATATCTTACCCTGAAGATCGGTTTAGGTGAAACTTAGGTAGGTTTTCCTGTCTCTTTAGGATTTGTTATATATATATATGTATGTTTGTATTACATTTTTTTCAAAGTAGTGAGGTCTTTGTTAGAATATGTTGGCAGCGTTGGTTATCTTTTATTAACAGGTACGTGACCTGGTGACTGTTGAACCCCACTGTCTATCTCTGCTCATTTTTACTCTTTGTTTGCCGGAAACTTTCAACAAGCTCTGAAAAATGTCAACTGGTTTACTTTATCAGAGAAATTTAACGACACTCCTTGCCTTGACGGACTCTTACGTGACACGGCACTTCAAAAAGCCGATCTATAACGAGAGACAGCTATGGATTATTGCAGTATCCTTCAACGTCACCAGCATACAACCAACATTCGCTTCTTACGTGGCTGGCTTATGTAATAAACGGGGGCATAAGTTTTGGAGCAACATTTCATTATATATACATATGTAATTGTCTCTACAAATGGAGCCCGTGTGCTGCACAGACAATATTACATATGTAATTGTCTGCAAGCCGATGGAAGAAATTCAAGAGATACAAAGCAACAATAATATTACTGATAATAAAAATAATATCTGTCTATAAGTCTGAGATGAGGTATTATGATTGCTTACATTATTTACATTATTCGAGCTGTTATCCTTCATCTTCATTGCCATATTCACAACGTTTCGGCTGTTGAACGTCCCGGCCTTCTTCAGGTTATTGGAATTTCGAACGCAATCCTTTATTTCGTCTAGGTTTAAGAAACCTTTATTCAAATGCGGTTCGAATATAGTGTCCTTTTATAGTCCCAGTAAATAGAAATAGCTCTTTCAAAGAGGAGTGTGTCTAAACAAAGGAAGAACCCTTTTGATTATTCATAACACTTGCTTTCTAGTGCGTTTGTTTACTTAATTTTTTTATATCTAAAATATCATTAATTTTTGGAGCGTTTAAAATTACTTGATGTATATAATATAAATATGTACACTATGTTCCAAAGGTTGTTATTGTCGAGGATAGCGTGGACAAGCTGTGTGTCTATAAGATGTTTCCCTGGCATGCGACTGAAATAGTTTGTGAAGTCTAGCTCCAAGCCGGGGAATGGGCGAATACGAAAAACTGGCGCCTCATAACTAACTGTTTCGGCGAGATGGAGCTCAACAGATCAGGAAAGCAGTTCATCTAGGGAAGTAAAATAAAACATTATATATATATATATATATATATATATATATATATATATATATATATATATATATATATATATATATATATATATATATATATATATATATATATATATATATGTATATATATAATTTCCAAACAAAAAAATCGTTATGACAAATAATGGCGCCATTCATACACACAAAAACGTTACATTTGTGTTCGTATGAATCGGGAGGAAACTATGTACATATCGTATTTCTCACCTCTAATACAACTTCAGTACCCTTGCCTTTCTATTAAACTAAGCGTTGTGCTTTTATTTAGTTTTAAATAATAAGTATTTAGCCCGAATCGCATGAAGATAGCTAAAGGTTGCAAGTCTGATAGGCTCACTGCTAATTTTTGTAAATTTAAAATCTCTGCATGGTATTTTTTTACTTTTCTTTATACCTGTATTGAACTCTTTTTAATAGTACGGTCTTCTAGTCTAATTCAACGCCGCTTGACCAATAACTGACCATATATATATATATATATATATATATATATATATATATATATATATATATATATATATATATATATTATCTTTTGCAAGCTGTCCATAAACCAGATCATCCATTCAAATGTATCTAAGTTGTAACGGAGTTCAGAGCAGCATTAGATCTTAACGTTTATTCAAACTTAATTTCAAAACATAACAACATAAATAAAAATATATATATTTTTTTTCTTCAGTTTCTTCTTTAAATAATTTTAAAATTAATTTAAATTAAATTCTAAATTTAAAATTGGTAATTTTTAATTTTATAGTATAATTTAATATTTATTAGTTAGAATGATTTCTATTTTAGTCTAATCCTAACATTAAAGTATTAAATAATTATTATAACGAAAGTTCGTTGTCAAGTTTTTGAATTCTCGTATACTTGTATTTTGATTGGTCATTCGAACTTATGTAACAGCCTTTCGCCTAACGAGGGGGGTGATTGATTTGAACTTTTTAAAACCCTTTATTCTACATCCAACACCATCACTTAATAAGACACCAGAAGTGTTGAAACAAAATGGCTATTTTTGTAGTGATTTTATAATATTTTTATGTTATAATTTTTGAATAAATATATATAATTTATAATTTACTTATATATATATATATAAGTATATTATAAATTACATCACTTTAAACGTTGTTTTTGGCTGTTATCCATCTTTGTGTAAACGCGACATATATTTTAAACAGTATTTTGTCTATCGGCCTTCTATTATTAAATAAAAATACGCCTTCCGGCAGGATTTGAAAC